CTCGCAGACTACCATCGGGTTTCTCTAACATGAGTACTGGAGAACTCCACGCACTTTTTGAAGGTTCCACAACATTCAGTTTTAACATCCGATCTAATTCTTCATGCAAAATTTTGAGACGAGCTGGAGACATGTTGTAATACCGTTGTTTTATCGGCTTGGCAGTGCCAGTATCAATTTCGTGTTCGACTAAATTGGTGCGACCCAATGTAGAAGTTTCCTTGCCTAAACAAGTCTTCAGTAAATTTTCCAATCGTTGTTGTTGGTCTTGGTCCAGGTGTTCCGCAGCACAAATACCAGAAGTTCCGCTAAGTTCATAAATAGAATCAACATTAACACCAAACTCCCATGTTCTTTGAGACATATCTGTAATAATTTGCATACTAGTCCAGAAGTCAATACCCAAGATGAGTGTTTGCGGCAGAGTTGGAACCACCATGACAGTAATGAGCCGAGTGCGGTCCTCTAAAGTAACAGGTAACTGGATAGTTCCTTTAACCATGTGCCGTTTAGCGTCCGCAGTTTCTACAAAACGACCAGGTGTAGGACTAAGATGTTGTTCCAACTCTTTAAGAACAAATAAGCCTTGGTGGCCTAATACGGTTTGGGAGGCTCCAGAATCCAACAAACCTTTGATAACAACTCCATTAATATTTACAGAAACATAAGGCCTAGGGTCAAAATCACAAGAATCCAACACATACATAATTTTTCCACAAGACACATTACTATTAAAATTACTAAATATATCACAGTCAGAGCTTAAATTTGGTTTCCAGGTACAAGGGACATTAGTAGATTCAATGGTAAAGGTGGGTCTATTAACAAGGTCTGAATTCCTACTTTGACAGTTCTTTAAGGGGTCCACCAAAATTTCAGTAGCGGGCCCCGAGCTTATACGTTTTTTGGTCGGCACTTATTACAATTTACTTTACTGACTCCATGTGTTCCACAGGTGTAGCAAAACTTCTTGCGCGGGAGATTGCAGTTAGTGAACCTATGCCCTGTCTTTTGACAATTCCAACACAACATAGTTGAATCATCCAACCTTTGTGGTCTTTGACTATTTAACTCACTGCGGTTGTTGTTAGGTCTGTTCCGGTTACTGTCTGAAATGGTAGAGATCCTTCCGGGGTTGGAAAAAGGTTTTCGAACACCATTGGACCTGTATGGTGGAACTGAATATGCTAAATCTGGTTCTAAAACTTGACTTGATTTTGGAGGAGGTCGCTGCCTCATAGCCCTCATACGTCCTGCTTCTGCCTGACGACCAAAATAACACAGATCTTCCATTGAAGTTATCTTGACTAGACATAATTTGCTCTGTAAGAAACCGTTGAGATTTTTCAAAACTTGTTTTAGTTTCTCTTTTTCGGTTACGCCTTCATTAAGTCGACTGTATAGACCTTCCATGGCTGCCAAGTATAGATCGATAGCTTCTTCTTCTCCCTGTGTCCTTTCTTTAATTTCTTGCAGTAGCCAATCATCGTAATCCGGATTCTGGAATACAGATTTTAATTCCTTGCACAATTCTTTCCATGAAGAAACACGTTGATGGGCTGAACGGTACCATATAAGTGCTTGTCCTGCGAATAAGTCCACCGCAGATTCAAAAAGTTCTTGTTCGGAAACTCCCCTTGCTCTTCTCAGCTCTTCGACTCGTACTAAGAATGCTCCGATGCTCACAGCTCCGTCATTATTAAATTTCAGGTTCCACTTGTAGACTGGTACAGACTTGGGACCATATCCTTGATGTTTGGATGGTGTTTCTTTAATCGCCCTCGAGGGATTCAAGGTGATTTCCTGCATCTGATCATGCAAGGTATGAAGGTCATCAACAAGTGGGGTTTGTTTGCTTATCTCTGAGAAACTTACATCCGTAGACCTAACCGGTGTAGAAATCTCTTGAATATTATTGCCTAGTCCATGGTTGGTTTCAGGAGGATTAACACTCTTTAAAGGATCTTCTTTCTTCTCACACCCAGTGCCTTGGAAAAGATCAATAAATTCTTTAGTTTTATCCAATAGTTCTTGCTGTCGTTGCGTGGGACTGAGGTCCGAAGAAGGCGCAATCGGGATCCTCTCAACTCTATAAAACAAATGCCAAAGACGGGCAGTCAGTCTCAATGCCTCGCTATCTTTATAGTCACCATCATAGGCTTCAATCAAGAAAGCCAGGTCCGAAAGTTTCTCTTCACATGTTTCCAGTTCTTTCAGTTCATCTAGTCCATTGACTACAGCATTATCTATTGCAGTTTTGTTGGAAAAACACTGAGTCAAGCGTTTCCGCAGATCATTAGTATCTCCAGCCGTAGATACTCCTCTAATCGATAATTCATAAACAATTTCATCTTTTCTAAGTCTGTAGGAATTCATGTTTATGGAGTTAACACACAAAAAATCTTAATAAACAATATCACAATAGGCTATCCACAAAATGAGTACAGAGACCACCAATATTTGGGATAAGTAGGCCTATCTTCCTTTCTAATAATCCAGCCGAAGAAGAGTTTCAACAAACGATACTGTAATTACTTTCCGGCCCCACGTTACGGGCGCCATTTGTAACCTTTTTTTTTTATTAATTTTAATAGTTATAGGTTAATTGAACTAAGCCCAGGTTAACTCAGAGAAGGGGGGGGGGTTGGTACTCAAAACTTTTAAAGAGTCACAATGACATAAGGGATCCTCTTCGGGAAGGCGCCACCTTGTTTACTGCAGAACGTCCACCGGCCAACAAGGAAGTCCAATGGCAGTACAGGGTTGAGATTAAAAGGTTTACCCTCGAGGACCACTTAACTTATCATTCAGACCCACTTACTCATTTACTTAGGCCTAGACAATTTAATGTGTTAATATGGCTAATAGTAATTGCATGAGCGTGAGGAGCAAGATTAATTTGTAAGGAAGCGTCTAAAGTTGTTTTTAAACACAGTAGGAAATATTAATATAGTGAAAACACAACAATTAAATTTAAGTTACAATAGTTTAATAAGAAAAGTGAAATTTAAGAGGATTACACATCTGCAGATCTTAAAACAAAATTTAATGATTGTCGAACCTATTATAACAGTATGATAGGAAACAATAACTCAACGCTCAACAATGATGATTTAAAAAAAAACTTAATATTGGTGGCCACCTTAACTTGAGTCGAATAACTCTAAAATATAAATTAGGTAACTTACGGTTTCATAAAAAAATAAAACATGAATTCAACTAGAGACCTAGGCCTAACATGTCTACGCATAAATTAAGACAAATATCACAATTAAACAGAAAGAAAAGAAATACAAGTTAAAATATCAGTTATCGTTAAGGGATCAAATTGTCCGAAGAAAGAGAAATACAGAATAATGATTTATGATAGGTAACTTATTGATTGTCTACTTAGCGGTAAGGCGTATCAGGTCCTTCACAAAACTGTAAATGACGAGACGAACAGAATTCCATTTTGGTTTGACTAGTAGGCTTAGTAGGTAGGCCTAGTCATCGGACGGTGAGCATGTCTCATCCAGCAGGTACGGACATCTCCCGAGCCAGCATTCCCCGTACATATCCCTAGAAAAGGGCCTCATGAATAGTAACAATCTTATAACACAACGGTATAGCAGTCTCACACACTGTCTTTGGTAAGTTAATATTTCACATCAGTCGATGACTGTCCATGTAACAATTATTAAATTCATTAACAGCTTTAAAATAACACAGCAAAAGTTCAGTCTTTTGAAATCACAAGCTATAAGGCACTAGAGTTTTGAACAATACTGTCTGTCTGAATGGCCTAAACTAACCTATCAAACTTGTTCTCAAGTCTTTGGTCCATAGTACATAATTATGCATAGCACCACACAATACATTACATACATTAAATAAGATTCGTTAACAAATTAAATCCTAACATTCGACAATATTATACTTACAACATGGACCCAGCTCGTATAACCTAGAAACTAAACATTTTACACATAGTCTATTTAAACACTTTGAAAGATAACACAGAATAATCCATAGGCCCTACATTTTAACAATTTCAGTGACTTTGTAGGCTACTTTGCCAAATTTAAGACAACTGAACTTAGGCCTAGCACAAGTTAAAGTCAAAAGGTTCGTTAAGCAACTTTAGCCTAGGCTTTAAGGCAAAATTACAAAATAGGCTAGTAACAGAATCAAATCTCAGAGTGAACGGGAAAGCCGTACTATCAGAACACATTTAAAAACAGACGTTACCAAATTTAAGTATAGACTTTAATAACAAACAATTTGAGAACAAATTTAATTTACTAACCTAAAGAGCTGGACCCAAAATGAGTCTGAATGACTGAGGTGGATTTTTGTAAGACAATGTGGGACATAGTATTAGCATACCCATCTCAAGAAAACCCTAAATAACAAAATGTTACAACATAATCCCCCAAAATATGTAATAAAAAGAAACCTTACCTCGAGGGTGATTTGATTTAAGTAAATTTAGTTGACACTTTAGTTGAAAACATCTTGAATTACAAAAAAATCAACTTCTCATTTTTTTGTCTTCGTCACAAAATCATGGCTAGAGGAGAAGAGGGAGGAAGCGTCGGTTTCAGTCCACAAATCCATCGAGTTTCATTATTGAGTCCAACCACCAATCAGAGGTCTACAACTTTATCGATTGAGTGAAGATGGGATGTAGCAACCGTTGGAGCGAAGAGTATGAAGTGGTAGAGGCGTACTATATAAAATATTTTACAGTGACGAAATGAAATTCAGAATGCGGTCAGGCAGTCGATGCGCGCTTAAAGACTGAGATGAAATATTTAGCGGGTGATCAGTCCGCTAGTCTGTATGTAGGCGTTACTGAATTTCAGAGCGTTACATGCTCGGAGGCTTGATTTAACAAAACTTAGGCCCAAATCAGTGTTCCAGCCGCCTGGTACTTGTACGGAACGGAACAGTGTCGTATGTCCAAGCTGGGTAAATAATTATTAAAATGTTCTAAATCAAACTTTTTTCTGTTGCAGGCTTTCAGTTACATCAATTTCTATCGTCAATTCTGGTCAACAGTTACACTGAGTCATTTCAAGTCATCATCATCAACCCTTATCAGCTTGGAAAGACACTGGTCAAAACATGGATAAACAGTATTAAAAACTAATGATTGTAAGTTAATATTTAGTCATGAGGAAATCCTATTTAGTGTTCATTATAAATCTTGTATATTTTTTATGTATTTTGTATCCGTCATGAATCTTTTAAGCAGTTTTAAATCCATAATTGTATATTATATAAACAATGATGTGTCTCTGGCATAAAAAAACTGAAAATTAAATTCAAATTGTAGGCTATGTGAATTTGTGTCATTTTTTAGTATAGAAAGTATTTAAATATTGATAGAACTAAAACATTAGAATAATAGCCATTTCCTGGTTTTTTGTACAGATTAAATTTTTTTACTTGATTAGCCACTTAAAAACTGCTGTGTTGCGATAAAGTTGGGTTATTTTACATAATAGTATACAAATAAGATTCCCATTTAGATAGACCCTAAAACTCCGATTAAGAAGTTTAAATTTTTCAAATATTATACTTTAAAGCAAGGAAAGAAATCCAAATGGCATAATTCTAGCTTAACACTCTATATAAGTTGAAACCTTGTATTGTATATACTAGCTTTAATTTTTGTGAAAACTTTATCCTGAAGTTAGTAATATCATTTTCTCCCTAACAATTGCATTTCAACTAGATATTAAGTTTCAATATTATAATTTTGTATATTTTGATGGTGAGACAAATAAATAAATTTGATTGAATGGTATTTGTTGTCCTTTAATTTTAATCTTCTTTTCTTACCCAATAAAGTATTAATTTAATTACTAACTGGACTAATTTTAACAGTTAAAAACTGGACTTAATTGGTTATGACGCACGTTGATTATTGCTTAGTTTTGTTTGCTTTTGTTGTATTCGTTTGTACCTATTAATGTTACAGTATTAATCCAGTAATAATAATAATCCAGTATTTTCGGATTTTACAATTTTGTCAGCATAGCCAATACCTCGGTAAGATTTTGTTTCTGCCCCAACCAGTAAACATACTTCGTTTTTTTTACAGAGGGCCAGGCTTAAGTAGACCATAAGTATTGCATCGCAGTTGAAACAGCTTATAGTGCACACTCATTTTCCGTCAAATCCCAGGTGCTTGGTGAACCATGAGATCCTTTTGACTATGGTTACCTGTTCTTCCCTTTGATCTCCAGTCGATAGGCCAAGAAATCTCAAAACAGACCTTGTAGAGAGCACATAAATATCATGTGGAATGCTGTCTCCTCCTCTTCCTCACCACATTTCCTACATAAGAGGCTTTCAACTTGAATTCCCATCTTGCGTGGATGTCCGTGGAATACCCAGCGGCCGCTGATGAAGCCAACCACTTTCCGCAGGGTCTTCCTATTCAGCCCGAGGGCATCTGCCGCTATGTAAGTTGTCAAGGAATTAACAGACATTTTAGTCCAGCAAATAGACGAGGCCAGCATAAGTGTTTCTCCGCATGCATCCACACATTATTTGTGTAACAAAACCTATAGTCAGAATCACACAATTTAATTCCAAGGGACAGCATAAAAAGCAAGGTAAATAAATAGGCCTAAAGCTTAAATTTCAGCCTGTTTTAAAAAAATGGTTAAACGATACTTCTTTTTGTATCCGCTTTATTCTTATTAGGATTCATGCAGACAGCTCTCGTAATGTAATTACTACTGTTCCGATTCAGTAAAAGGGCTGAGGCCGAGGGGCGCAAGATGTTTTATGCTTGTTGGGGCAAGAGGTAGAGAAAACCTCCCTGGGAGGAAGGGGATGCAATTATCTCTCCGGCCCTTCACGCGATACAAGCAAACTGGAGGCCTGAATCTAATGGAAATATTATAATTTTAGACTACAGCTCTTCCAACCATCTTTTTGAAAGGCTAATTTTGGTTCTCAAGTGAGATATCTACTTCTGTTTCCATTTCCAAAAGTCAATGTAAAAACGCCATGCTATAGTTTTTAGCTCAAGCTGCTATTTAGTACAGTTGTTCTTATTTTTTCATTCTTCTGAACAATGTTAAGAATACAGTATTATGTAAAGAAATACTAGTAAATTGCTCATAATGGAAAGATCTTCAAGGAAGGCGGTGAGAGGAGCCAATTCCAAGTTCCTATGTAATTAAAGGTCCGAGTCACTAGAATCGTACAAACTAACTCATTCAAAAATTGACAATTGTTTAGTTCCAACCATTGACTATTAATACCCAGTAACTGTAAAAAAACTTACTATACAAAATACTCAGGGGTAAAATATATTTGATTTGGTTTTACACATTTTTATTCAGACAAATAGCTTACAAAGGATGAAATAAATTATTTACATTGGTCGAAATTGAAGTTTAGGTTCATTTGAGATACCTGCAACAAAAGAAAAAACAAGGTAATTTATCAGAATAGTAACAAAGTCACAAATATATTAGGCGTAGGTTTTTTGAAATTATTGTGATTAGGACTACTATAGGTGTAATTTAATGTATTATAAAATACTAGTACCCTTTAAAATTAATTTTATTAATCAATTAAAATATATATATATAAATTTAATAAACGTTGGTAGAGATGATAAAGCAGCCTGTGTCAGTAGAGTAAAATCTAGAAAGCCAAATTAATAAAGACAATAAAAAAAAACATTGATTCAACCACTACAAAGAAAGATCCAGTTCAATTCTCAACCCCATAGTTGTTTGACTGGTCTGGGACATGTCCCTTTCCTTCTAATACATCCAGCAATCATCCTATCCATTAAAAACAAGTTTACTGTCTTCTCCAAATATAATAATAATGGGGCTGCAAACCACCTACTGTTGAGTAAAAAAAGAACATATTTCTATCAAGAAACTTTCCCAAGATGTTTCCGTAGTCATATTAAACAAGAATCCGGGATTCGACAAAAATTGATGTTTGCAAACAACTCGTGTTACTTACTTGGCGGCCCAGTCTGTTCGGCCGTGGACTCGCCCTCGTCCCGTCGTAGGATTGTTGCCTCCAGCGTACAACTTGTTGTGAGCGAACACGTCCTGTCGTGCCGCTAGAGGCTTTTTTTGATATTGCTCACTGCAACGAAATCAGAAAATTCTCTGATAAAATCAGAAACATAATGAGGCGAAAGTTGAATTTCTTGGTTCTTCCTCAAAGGTTTCTTAGTAAGACCTGAGTGTTTTATGTTGGGAAAGCACAGTGAGCTACCATGATAGTTAGTTTTTTGTGTCCTACGCTAGGCACAAGCACAAGCTTGGGATTGTTTTTCACATTATTTCAGGCTAGACCTAGGGGTTGCGGCATTATCACTTAGATAAAATCCATTGGTGATTTGGCAGGATTTGAACCAGGGACCTCAGGGTCTGAAGTCCCGCACTCTAACCACTACACCAGTTCGCTCCCCACGATAGTTAGCAAAGTCATGTGATGTCATTGGTGGAAGAATGTGTTGAAATTTTGTATGAAATCAAAGAAGTCATTCAGTGTTTTCTAAACTACAGTAAACACATTTTGGCTGACTAAATAAATCATTTTTCATTTCATTTCATTTCATTTCACATTTTACAATGCATATCACTTTTAATTTATTTATTAGATGCATTGTGTTTTAAATATCCTACAGCACTTATACTTTTTTCAAACCGTTTCAAAAAAATTTAGCTCCGCATAACCATCGGATGCAGGAATGTTTCACTATCAATCAAGATGGGGACGCTTTCTATGTGCATATTTCAACCCAAATATGAGTGAATGATAAGTGTAGAATGGAGTGAGAAGATCTATAAGAGGTTAATTCACCTTGATTTTGTCTAGTGATTCCTAATATTTCCTCTAAGGGCCCTTCCACCTCTTAGAATCCACTTCCAAGCTACTAAATCATGCTTGTAAATGGTGCTGCATGTTAAAAAATAATCCTCAACTGTCACTCACTTATTGACGAAAGTAATAGGATGACCAGCTACATAGCGGGCCACGGAGAGGTAGTGCTGTTTTGCCGACATCTTCTTTGACCTCGGCGCCGGCCCGACACCTCCATACCACCCTCGGTTCTCCTTCATCCCCTTGTCACCACTAAAAAAGTCATCAACTTAACTCACTTCTCACGACAGTGCACAAAGTGTTCGTTTGCAGTAAGTGCATTATCAGATACTATGTTGTTAACAAAAATTACACTCTGTCAATTACATTCCAAAAGGATAATTTTGAAATTTTTCACAGAGCAACGGGAGATTTGCTTTTGTGGAACCAGTTCTTAAGCTTTTAATGTATAATCCACAGAAATATGCAACATATTTAACTTACTTTGCTGATTGCCCTTTGAGTATATGGTAAAAGATATAATCAGGTTCAATTATGGATTTGTAAAACTCTATTCTATTAAAAGGGTTGTTTATAATTTCAATAAACAAATTGCAGATTCAATTTCTGTCATGTCCAGTGTAGTTTACATACGTGTTCTAAATTTTGTTACTTTTTTATGTGTTTATTAATCTTGGATTTTACATTCAGCTTGCATTAATACAGCTCAACATACACACCCAAGTGTGCATTTCTGTAAGGATTCATTGATTGAAAGATGAAAACTAACTAATTAGGTACATTATTGGAGATTTTTGGGTTTGCATGAGTTTTCAGTACATAAAAAAAGTAAAACTTTGAACAGGTTACCTAAGCAGGCTTACGAGATCTTTCTCATTGAGTGTGACGTGAGACGACATCTTGACGGAGGCTCTGCTCTGTGATTGGTTGAGGTACTGCGGCCTCAGTCGATCGTCCGGAACCATACCACTCAGCTTTCCTCCCACTTGGAAATACGCTTGTCTGCCAGATAAAATTAATCCTTTTACAAATCTTAAGATATTTAAAAAATACCTGAATTTTCATTTTTGTAGGTTTTTCTGATTTCAGAAACAAAAACGTAGAGTAAACAAGTGGCAATGAAAAGAATTTTTCCCATAATTAAAAATTAAAACAAACTTAAGTATGGTAGCTGAGCGGTTATCAATAAACAGAAGGTTGCCGACTCTGTCATTTTGGAGTCTTTTTTTTAATGTAACTAGGCTTAGTTTTTTAATGATTTAGGTTAACAATTTAACCATTAATTTTAGAGAACTAGCTGATGTCAATTAGTAGCGGCTACAGGCCGGACCAAAGTTCTAGGCGTCTCGCTGACGCATGCGTAATAACGAATTTGCATTTAATCATATGTTAGCCCAAGTTTTGACAGATGGGGAATTAACACAGCAAATTAATGCGCATGCGTCCGCCAGACGCCTAGAACTTTGGTCCAGCCTGTATCATGTCATTCATTCAACACAATCTAACAAAAGGCCAATGGTAACAAGATAAGGGTTTAGACTGTTAGCAGAAATGTATTGATAAACAAAAATAAATAAAAAAATAAACCCATTGCCTCAATTGTCTTCACCTAAAACTGCGCTCCCTGTATGCAACATTTTTCCATTTGTTTTGAGCTTTCAAAACAGCTGTTCATTTTACCCACAAGATTAATTTGTTACTAACAAGACAACCTTTCAGGTGTCTTCCTAGCATTGGGGTTGGTGCTTTTGAGACAAGAGGGGGATATGGTAAGGCTTGAATCATAACACTTTCTCTCTAAAAAAAATAAATAAATGTCTATGAAAAAAATACCTGAGAGCGTGTTGCGCCGTCGGTCTCTTTGCAGGGTTCCAGTGCAGCAAGGCCTCCAACAGAATGATAGCGTCTCGGCTTGCGTGAGGGATCAGCGACCCAAGTGGCGTGCGACGGAATTGCGGAAACTTGAAGTTCATGTTGGAAGCCAACTGATGGCCCTCGTACCACTCCTTCTGTGGAATTAATAGCAACTTCAAAAGCTACTTCTTGGGTTGACAAATAAATACCTTTGACTACTGATAGGAGTTGATGAAGGCCTACATCACGCTTCTCAGAAAACTATGGCAGAAACCAGCAAGGATGCTGTAGTATTGGAAATTTTAGTGTGTACGCAACTTTAACTGTATGTAAAGAATGTCTTGGTCTACTGTCTATAAGAATTTGTAGGAAAAATCTGTCCCTAGATAAGGCCCTATGCAAATCCCAGATTGAAACTAAAACTATACATTTTTTATGACAGGGATATATTTTTTGATTTATGTAGTGTTGAATCTATAAGTATTTCTAACTTGACCTTATCTGGAGTTCCAAGAACAGAGCAAATCTTGAATATCTGGTCGATCTCGCTGTTGCCCGGGAATAACGGCCGGAAGGTGTAGAGTTCAGCCATCATACACCCGACGGCCCACAGGTCTATAGGGCTGGAGTAGACAGTAGAATGGAGTAGAACTTCTGGAGCTCTGTACCATCTGTTAACATGTTTGTTTTACTAAAAATTGGTCAGTTTCTGCTTTTTACTTTGCAAATCCAAAATGTCAAGAGCAACTACAATACGAAAGGATGACTTCGCCAGAGGATTATTTCAGACTGTTAAGTGAAAAAGCCAGAAAGTAAAGAGAAATAGAAAAAGTCTGAAGGTTTGTGAAAGCACCATAAAGCGCCAAACGTAAAGACAGAACAAATTATCTAGCCTATATTCCACATTGCAGGCTAATAAAATGAAGATTCGTCATTAATAACCACGTTTGCTTATTCAACTGTAAATAGTTTTTATAATACAGAATAGATTCTTTAGCACTTTAAATTTATAGGCTCTAAATTGCAGGCAGAGCAAGAAATGTATGTAAAATAAAATTTGTTATGGGTTACACATGTTGCCAACCTTGTGTTAAGCATCTCAGACTTCAGTACAGGAGGGACGGGTTGTCGGGTTCAATTCCAGGCAAATCCCAAAAATGTGGGTTTGGACCGCATTACTTTAAAAGTATTTGCCTTGATTTTGAGAAAATTCTAAACACCAGCAACAATATAGTGTATTCCCTACACAAAAAATTTTCTAAAATAAAAAAAAAATTAATTGATTGAAGGAGGTGGCGTGACACTAACAGCGATAAACTTGAATCAAGAATGAAAAGTAGAAAAGGGAAGTAATGGAAAAAATTAAGTGAGGAAAAAAATACCAAATCAATTTAAAGGATTTAACATAAGCTACATGCACTTTCAATCCTATAGTGGTAGAAAATTGATAAAAACCTTGAATCAGAAAATGTATAAAAATCGTGTATCTATTTCTTGATACGTTCTAATGTTGTTCATGTTTGCAGTGCAGATATAAAGCAGGCCACATCAACATGGTGTGGGGAAGGTTATTCAATATCTCTGGCGTAACAGAGAGATGGAAGTGCCAAAACAAGTGTCAGTTTGACTGCTAGTGCCTAGTGCCGTGACTCGAGTGACTTATGCTACATTCGTGTTTTGCACAACACCTCGACTATCGTAGACACACCAACTGTCCATCAAACTGTCTGTTTCGCCCCATTGAAAAAATATACTACATGGTACATATAAATGGCTAGTGTGGAAAATACCACTACCAAATTGGTTGAGCACTTATATTTGGATATTAAATATAAACATTTTTACTTTTGTTAAAAAATATATTCTTGTGCATTTGCTGTTTACTTTTTTTGTTACAACAATGAAAAAGTCATATGATTTTTCAAATTTAATTTGTTGTCATGTTGCAGCAAGAGTTTTTTTGAGTACCTTGTGGAAACATAGTCTGTGTATGGAGGATTTGATCTGATTTCTCTGGCCAATCCAAAGTCCGCAATCTTGACGAGTTCAGGCCCGCAACACAGAACATTCTCAGGCTTCATGTCTCGATGGAAGAACCCGTGTCGGTGCATGAAGGCGAGGCCCTGCAGTACTTGGTAGAGAATATTCCGTAACACAGGCTCGGGGAAATACTTGTCTCTGTAAACACCAGTGAAAACTCTTAGTTGAAATCTCGGAGAGACAATCCATTACAAAAATAATAAATTATAAGGAATGCTATTGCAAGACAAAGTGTTCTTTTGCTTACTCTGAAAAAAAACTACTACAACTTTTACCTCCACTTTGTTATTTCAAGTTTATTGAATTTCTATCTGTACAGGTTCATTAATGGAAGTAGATTGATATTTACACATGCACATCTATTATGCTTAGGTCGATGGTAAAGAACACAAACAATGTATTGAGTAAAGATTAAAATAAATCATTTTAATTAAAAAATTTGTAAGATTTTATAAGAGCTATCCATACAAAAAGCAGTTAATTTATTCACGATAACCCACACACGATATATGAATATAAGGAAATAATAGGAATACAGTAGTTCTATTCCAATCCAGAACTGTTTCAGACAGACTGCACTCTGTATCTTTAATTCCAAAACTGTAAACATTCACTGACATAAAACTATTTTAATTATTATTGTTAAATATGGAATTATTGACATTTAGGCATATATATTAGATTCTCTGTCATTTTGGATAACCAACAGATCCATATACAATTTTTTCCTTATAAACAGAATTATTTCTTTGAAACATCTCTCCCATGAGCTTTATGGTGAAGTGTCTTCGTTTATGAATTATTCACAAAGAAAATGGCAGCGAATCATGCCATAGGACCATCACAGCAAAATGGGTTTGTACAGTTTATTTACAGTCTTCCCTACTTTCAAGGTGAATAACAAATTGATTCCTTCTAAAAATATCCATAAAAGGGAGTTGTATTATTTTTATTTACTTTATTGCACACAATTTTGACATGGACCACATACATAGTTATTCAAGACTTTGATTTCATATTTACCTGTCTTTCATTAATTGATATAGGTTTTCCTTCATGTATTCAAATACAAAATATAATGTGTCATTTTCTCTGATGACTTCTTTCAATTTGACAACGTTGGCGTGGCTCAGTTTCTTTAAGGACTGTAACATAAAAATCGTATGGGTTAAAAAAATATACTGTGTAATGGAATAATACCAATGGGGAATGTTCCGCTGGTCAATCCTGACCAAGGGAAAGGGCAGTGAACAATTGTCAAGAACATTTCAGGGCTTATAAGGGATCAGGTATCGGAGAGAAAATGAGATTATGTTAATGATGCCGCATAAAAAGCTGATACCAGTTTTTGTGGCTGTGCTGAAAATTAATGGATTTATAAAAATATTTTTAATAAAACACAATAAACAATATTTTGCAGTTAAATAAATTGTTAAGACCTAAAATAGATTAAACATGAGTTTTTACAACAACAAAATATTTTTTGTTATGAACACCTCTTAAAAATATGAAATATATGGATTTACATATTTTTGAATTGGTATCCAAAGTCAATTGCAAAAAGAGAATATTTATGTAATTTTACAGTATGATGAAAATTAATAGTGACAATTAGTTGCATGACTAAATCATACATAATGATTCAATGTGCTATATTCTGCAGCAATAGTCAAGCGTAACCGCATGATCATGACCTCGACGGACGACGGCATGCGACATGACAACTCTCTCAGTAAAATATTCACCATAACTGGTATTGATCCATCATATCAATCTAACTTTGGTGGAAAAGCACATGTCATAGTACAAGTTAAATGGTCTGTTATTCACACGCTCAATATCTTTTATGTCAGATAAACTGGGCAATGGTGAATAAATATATAATTTTATTAGGAGTGAAATACAAATTTGTGTATCTTGAATTTGTATCTAGAATGGAATACGATGATCCCTTTTACTTACAATAATCTATGATAGAAAAGTGTATGAGTAAGATACCCGGTTTAGCTTTGTTACTGACTAAGACCAGCTGTTTCTTTAGTTTGGAGAATTTATTTTAGTCCAAAGTAGTCAAGGGCACAGGCCCAGTTTCAAACCATCAAAAAGTTACTGATTTTTTTTAAAGACCGAACGGTTTATTGTCTAACTTATCAAGCAATAAAACCACTCTTCTACCCAGATGACTAATTCATATGTGCATTGACAAAAAATATTTTAAGTCTGTTAAAAGATAGAGAAGATTTTTACTTGTCCAAACATAATTAGACTATACATATTAAACTATTTTGTAAGATGCTAGATAATATTTAGCTGATCAAGAAGCTTTGGATGGAAAATATTATGTCAGAGTTTCCCCTCGACATATAAACATGCCATAAAAGGGTGCTCCGATCTGATAACACCTGTCAATATACATTCACTCAAACTCTTCAGCATAATTCTGGGGTTGAAAAGTTCAGATGGAATTTTCCTCATTGCAATTTAGTCCAACACCCTTTGAACTCCATGGACTATTCAGCGATTTAATCATGCCTTATGTCATGTTTCCCTCATATGAACAAAAAACATCAAATAATATTATAAAAACAAGTTTTTTAGACACACGAGTAACTAAAAAAATAATATAGGTAACAGAAAAATAAGTTTTGGAAGGTTAGTGAAACTTATCATGCAAGTGTTGAAGAGCTTCTTAGACCGTCAATCAGTCAGATTTTAACAAATTTCTTTACAAGTCTATGGATTGGAAAAGTCACGATAGGTGCTGAAACTTTCAAACCTCTCATGTTCCAGATTGATTATTTTTACTGTTATAGATTAAAATACTAGTAGGCTACAACGCTTGAAATAATCATAAATTGATATTTACGATAAGTTAATCTAAATCTAAAAAAAAACATTAAATGTTTTTGACAAATCCATCTGGTCAAGGCATATATTAAAATACCGCAACTTTATTCACAATATGCATCTGTTCTTTGTATAAAAATATAGAGCAGTAATTTTAAATATACCATCGTCATACAATACAACATCAGCACAAAATAGATTGCAAAATGAGTAAAATGATGGTTACCGTAATTATAAAAATTGACGGTATTTATCGCAGTAAGTTTGCTTAGGATTTGCTTTTGGCTCAGTTTCTTCAAGGACTGTAACACAAAAATCTAGTGGTTATAAAAAAATACTGTGTAATGGGATAATACCAATGGAGAAGGGCAGGGAACAATTAATTGTCAAGAAAATTTCAGGGCTTATAAGGGATCAGGTATCGGAGAGAAAATGAGATTATGTTAATGAGGCCGCATAAAAAGCCGATACCAGTTTTTGTGGCTGTGCTGAAAATCAATAGATTTATAAACCCCTTTTTTTAATAAAACACCAAAAAATATTTAGCAGTTAAATAAATTGTTAAGACCTAAAATATATTAAACATGAGTTTTACAGTAACAAAATATTTTTTGTTATAAACACACACTTTAACAATATGGATTTACATATTTTAGAATTGGTATCCAAAGTCAATTGCAAAAAAGACAATATTTATGTAGGTACTATACTGTATAGTTGAACGCTTGAAATGATCATTAATTGATATTTACGATAAGTTAATCTAAATCTAAAAAAAAACATTAAATGTTTTTGACAAATCCATCTGGTCAAGGCATATATTAAAATACTGCAACTTTATTCACAATATGCATCTGTTCTTTGTATAAAAATATAGAGCAGTAATTTTAAATATACCATCGTCATACAATACGACATCAGCACAAAATAGATTGCAAAATGAGTAAAATGATGGTTACCGTAATTATAAAAATTGACGGTATTTATCGCAGTAAGTTTGCTTAGGATTTGCTTTTGTGCATCAAGTAAACATCAGCCAGCAAAGTTGACAAGAAGGTTAACGACGTAACGACTACTCGATGAATAAAAGCTCGGAGGTGTGGATGGACAGTTGGATTGCTAGGGTCAAGGTTCATTGATTTTCTGGACACTCATTGCTTCAACATTAAAGTACATCTTTGTTTAGGAAATAGCTTCGAATTACCTTTGATTTTGAAGACAAAAGTAAACGATAGACGTGGGTGAAGCTAAAAATAGACTGTGGTTACTCTACTTGGTAAAGTTTTAACTCAATGTACATTAGGTTGATTGAAAAAGCAATATTGTTGGACTGATTTAGTTTATAGATAACAATTAAGGGTATTGTTTTGCATGTCTGGTTTTAATATTGGTGATCAACAATGTATTTTAGTTATTAATTGTATCTAGTCTATGATATGGTGGTTTAAATCCAAATGTTATTAAAAAACCCCTCTCATGTAAGGAAAATTTTAACATTTTCTGTAGTCGCTCACTAATACACTTAAAGCTATATAGGGGAATAGGAAAATGTAATTAAAAAATATCTTTAAAATATCTATGTTGTACGGTTAAGGCATTGTTGTTAAAAGAAACTGTTACGGTATTGGGTTCAGAATAATAATAAATATATTGCTGTCACCGTTTTAATTTTTAGTGACTAAAATATACAATTATTTTATGAAAACCCTCTACAAATTTAAAATAATGATAAAACATCTCTTTGTGGAAGCTATTTAGTTGGAATAAGGTTACCGGTAATGAAACACGGAGTTGTAGTTGAGCGTGATTAATATGTTCTGAGGTAGGTCAGACTGACAGGGCTTTATTGGAATACTTCCTTCAACAACGGCACATTGCCCCTACCTGAGATGAAATATCTTATTTGCTATACGCAGGCTTAAACATGCAGCTTTTTGTAGTTATTGTGTTTATATCGCCGTTGCAAATACAATACAATATTGCTCTGCTACTAATCTCATTAATCCATCTTTCTGGGGAATGAAACAAATTATTTGTGTACACAGTTTCAAGAACAATATTTAAATAATGGATGCCTTTATATTGATTAAAGTTATCAACTTCTTCAAAGACCCTGGTAATGCTGCGCCACACGGTGAAATACCTATAGGGAACATCTCCAATCAAGAACTAAGGTTTAAAATCATGTGTGTTAATCATTCAGTCAATAACAAGCTTCGAAACAAATGTTTACTTCAAAACCAACTTTAAAATTAAAGTTTGACCATGAAATTCAATCTGTGCCGTAAAAGTTGAAATATTTAGTGTTAAGTAAAGAGGCAAGTAACTCCTTGAATAATGCAATCATGTTATGCTGAAAACAACTTCCGAACATGCAAGAGACTTATATTCCAACTGAACGAGGCACACGGAGATGGGCGTCTTTATGTTTGGATATAACTTTGACAATTCTGTAAATGTTGGTAGTGAGCACTGCTAGAAGACTAGTCCATCATATGGAATCTGTAACTATATTCAGGTTAAAATGTTGTCCACTACACTTAACTGTCTGTATATTTGTTTAATAAACTGCATTCGGTTGTGAGTCTAAATAAATTGCAGGGATATTTTTTTGTGTTTTCTTTGCCAATAGCATTTGCCGATTTTTTAACGTTTTGAAAGAGAACGGACCAAACCCTAGTCTTGTTACCATCTAACGTTGACCTTTTGTTATAAATACTCATTAATTGATAACCCAAATAATAATAATAAATTGCATCTGAGTGTAGAAAAAACCTCTCTTAGAATCAAACGAGCAATCTTCAGATTTGCAGGTACCGTATTGTCATATCTAAAAATTAACCAGGCACTGTTAACTTATTTACTGCTCCAAAGTTTGCAATATAGAAAAGTTGATTCCCCCTAAATTCCTCTTGTTTACAACCTTGTGGTGAGTTACTTGATAAGCAGCAATAACTGCAGAAAAATAACTAAATTTATAATAACAAAAATATTCTGACAACAACTTATATCTCTATCTCTGGATTATAATAATGTTTAACAGTACCTGAGCAGCTCAGTAGAACTAGTAAATAATATTTAAGATTAGATTCGTTCATAAGAATTTGATAGCTCACAAGAATTAAGAATATTTGTAAATTCATGTTGAAAACACAAACAAATTTAAGTTAGTTACTGCTGAGAAATAATTCACCTGGCTCTTCTAACAAGGAAGTCAGGACATGGCGAATATTTATTATCCTTAAACATGGCAGACTGCGGGAGGAAATGGAAATGTTTCATTACATTATCTTTGTGC